TATCTATCTATCTATCTATCTATCTATCTATCTATCTATCTATCTATCTATCTATCTATCTATCTATCTATCTATCTATCTATCTATCTATCTATACACACAATACACTGAGTGAATTTGTGATTAGGCTAAAATCAACAAATATCCTCTATCAGATTTTAGTAAAGGGGGCACAACTAACCTCCCTTTCCACCTGTCAACTGGCCCCAATCACTCTATCCCTCAACCTTTATCTCTTCCCTTCCTGTCTCCGTGGCTGCCCTCTATATTCTGCCATGACCTCCCTCACCTCATCTCCCCCTTTCTCCAACCTCTGTGTTTCTCTCTGTCTCCTCCCTCCATCCCCTCCCTCTCTTCCCCGTGTCTCCAGGTCCACCTCGAATTAGACCCATGCGAGACATCACCGCAGTGGCGGGCAGAAATACCTATATAACGTGTCGTGTGATTGGGTACCCGTATTACTCCATTAAGTGGCTGAAGGACGGCATGCAGCTGCCTGATAATCATCGTCAAGTGGTGTTTGAGAACGGCACACTGAGGCTCACAGACGTGCAGAAGGGCGCAGACGAGGGGACCTACTTGTGTAGCGTTTTGATCCAGCCCCAGGTGTCAATCAACCAGACTGTCCACGTCACTGTCAAAGGTAAAGCTGAAGAGGAGTACGGATGCACTGGGCAGTGTTTTTGGTAAATTTATACCTATTTTATGAACCCAATTTATAGAATTAGGCTGCAGTAGAGATAAAGTGACACATCAGTTGACAGGGAGATATTGCATCTTCACGCTTTTCCCAAATCTATTTCAACTAGAGGTAATGCTCTATGCATACCCAAAATTCAAATTCACTTAAAACAGTAGTGAAAAAAAATCTTAAGAAATCAATCACCAATACTAATACTACTTTGTTTTTCAAACTGCTTCCTTTAGCTTAAAAAAAGATGGGAAAAAAAGCGATGCAAGTAAAATTTCTTGATGAAGAGCAGCTAGTCACTGCTACTTGGGGGACACCACTGTACAAAGCTGTCAAGTGCAACTTTAGTAATGCTGTTGAATGCAGATGAATGGTGTTTTGGGGGTAGATTTATGTTTGTCCTGCGTATTTCATTTAGTCTGTGAGCGGGATAACGATGGCAGTAAGCAGGGCAGCTGCAGAGGTGTTTGAGGGTGTGTACATGTGCCTGTGTGCAAGTGTGTCTCTGATTTAATTAGATGAATAATAATGAAGCCTAGATTAAATCCCCCAGATGTCTCAGCTGTAGTACCCCCACCTCAACCTCCATTACCATGGCAACGGAATGACTTCCCCCTGCCAATTGGACTGTAACCAGAGCAGCTATTATGGGCTGCAGGAGATGTGGGGTGGTGGGGGGGGTGCTGAAGAGGGGCCCACTGGCCAATGACCTTCTCCCTCTCTCTCTCAGACTCTTAGCATTGCTCCAGATGGCCACATTGCCGCTCTTCAACATCTATCACTGCCTTTATTCCACTGATTTCCTTTCTCTCTCCTCTAGTGCCACCGCTCATCCAGCCCTTCGATATCCCCTCTACCTCAGTGGGGAAGCTCATGTACATCGCCTGTGTGGTGTCATCTGGGGACATGCCCATACGCATCACCTGGCACAAAGACGGCCAGCTCATCGTGCCAGGCTCTGCCTCTGGTGTTGCAATAGAGACCAAAGAGTTCATGAGCTCCCTGCAAATTTCCAATGTGACACTGAAGCACAATGGAAACTACACCTGCATCGCCAGCAATGCTGCTGCAACTGTCAGCTGGGAAAGACAGTTGATTGTTACTGGTGAGGGGTGACGTGTAATGTGTAAAGTAACTGTAGAACTGTTTTGTGATCACTTACTTTTTGTAACTTCTACCAAGTTTTTCCATTTATATAAAATCAGGATTTCTGTTTCTCAGTGCCGCCACGTTTTGTGGTGCAGCCCAACAATCAAGACTGTATCTATGGAAAAGCTGGAGTACTTAACTGCTCCGTGGAAGGTTACCCCCCTCCAAAAGTCATGTGGAAACATGCCAAAGGTAAAATCTGCACATTATCCTCATGGCATTGCAGTAAAAGCTACACACGAACAAGAAAAAGTATCATGCTTCCATACATGCTTTGTGTTGTGTCCTGCAGGCGTAGGAAACCCTCAGCAGTACCATCCTGTCCCACTAACTGGCCGTATCCAGATCATGTCAAACGGTTCTCTGCTGATCCGACATGTTCTTGAAGACGACCGGGGGTACTACCTCTGTCAGGCCTCCAACGGAGTGGGCTCAGACATCAGTAAAAGCATGATCCTTACTGTCAAGAGTAAGTGTCAATCCTCTGCTTTTTGGCATGAACCCACTTCTTTTCAAACCCACATCTCCTGGATTGCGCTGAGATAAGTCTCAGCTTTTTGGACAGGGATCAGCTCTTCTAAGATGCACTTTTGCCCCAGGCTAGTGCGGCCTGTGCTTAACATAGCCTAACTTAGTCTGTGTCCTGCACATCCTTCACTGGGGGTGCCTTTCCTATTGACTGATGTTCTCTGGCTGTCAGCCTGTGCGCTACAGAATGTTTGGTGGGGAAAAGGGTTGATGAATTAGTGATGAAAGCAAAACCACAGGAACCTCTTCAATCAATAATCTACGTCTAAGTAACAGAGGAGGAAGAGAAGCGAAAGTAGAGACCGAAAATAATAAAAAGAGGGAGGAGGTGGTGTTAGAGGCCAGTGGGGCTTGAAGCATGAAATGAAAATGGGGAATAAAATGGAAAAAAAGAGATGTCTATACATGTGTAATATATCCTTGCTCAGTTTCCAATACTACACGCCCGTTTTCCCTCATGTCATTATTCCATACAAAACGATTCATCATGCTGATACTTGTCTATTTGCTCAGTCCCTGCCATGATCACCAGCCACCCAAACACTACCATGGCAAGGAAGGGCCAGATCAAGGAGCTGAACTGCACAGCACGGGGCGAGCAGCCCATTATTATCCGCTGGGAGAGAGGGGACACAGTCATTGACGCAGAGAGAAATCCCCGTTACTCCATCAGCATCAACAAAAAGGGGGATGAAGTCATCTCCACCCTAAAGGTCAGATAATATATACTTATACTCTTCAGGCCTTTAGTGTAGCTTAATGCCATTACACCGAACTATGCTTAAAAAAAAATCTACTTCTACTATAGGCTATTGCAGGGTTTAATAAGCTTTAGAGGTGCATGTTTTCAGATTTTATATTTATTTTGGGATTTTTTTGCAAAAGTGTTCTAGAAATATTTTCTTAAAAAAAGTCCTATTAAAGGAAGTTATTATGGGAATATTTTTAGGATATTATATTCCTAAATTTCACACGTCATCTTTCCCTGCTTGTGCTGATGCTCGCAGCTTAACCCAGCCGAGCGAGGAGATTCTGTCTTCTTCTCCTGCCATGCCATCAACTCCTATGGAGAGGGCAGAGGGCTCATCCAACTCACTGTACAAGGTATTTCTACAAACAACTGCAAATCCCTACTTCTTTTATTTAAATAAAGAATTAAGGGGAAAAAAAGTATGTAAACAACCTAATGAGGAAAGGTTATTTAACGAGATACTGATGGTGGTAAAAACAAAGGAAAATTCTTTTTTTTTTCCACCCTCACGCAGAGCCACCCGATCCTCCCGAGCTCGAAGTACGGGAGGTGAAGGACAGAAGCATGAACTTGCGCTGGATCCAAAGGTTTGATGGCAACAGCATCATCACCAGCTATGACATTGAGTACAAAAACAAGTCAGGTGGGTTATTAAAAACAACAAGCCTAATCCCTAATGTAAAAGTTATTTCAACAATTAAAAACTGAAAAAATAAACCTCTGCTCATATTCAACAGACACATGGGATCACATGTACACAACCAGGAACATCTCACCCACCAACAATCAGGCCAACATTGTAGAGCTGCACCCGGCATGCGTTTATAGTATCCGCATGTACTCCTACAACAAGATTGGCCGCAGTCTTCCCAGCAAAGAGCTCACAATCAGTACCGAAGAAGCACGTAAGTGATTGTTTTTCTCTAAATATCACGTTTTTTTGCCTATCTAGTATTTGTTTTTGCTGTCTCTGTATGGAGTAGAGCCATCACTATCTGATATCTTCCATCAACAGCACCTGACGGGCCTCCGATGGATGTAATCCTGCAACCGATGACATCTCAGAGCATACGAGTCACATGGAGGGTAAAATCACTGTTGCTTACGACTTCATTTAAGTATTAAGCCTAGTATAAGTGGAAATAACTAGAAAGCAAACAATGATGGGATATAAAGATATGCTCCATGATTTAAAACAACAAGGTTTCAGTGATGTCACAAACAAATCCAAAATGTTAAGAGACACCTGTGAAATTGTTGGTTACAGAAATGCAAAAATTAACTAACTAAAATTTAGAATTGATCTCGTTTAATTTCTTCTTTTTTTTTTTTTTACATATTGCTGTCAAATTTCATAGTAAAACTTTTTTTCTCCAAAACTTTCAGGCTCCAAAAAAGGAGCTGCAAAACGGCGTGATCCGCGGCTACCAGATTGGATACAGAGAGAACGGTCCAGGTAGCAATGGCCAGTATAGTATTGTGGAGATGAAAGCTACAGGGGACAGTGAAGTTTACACCTTAGACAACCTAAAGAAGTTTGCCCAGTATGGGGTGGTGGTCCAAGCCTTCAACAGAGCTGGGACTGGCCCATCCAGTACTGAGATCAATGCTACCACTCTGGAAGATGGTAAGTGGACAGCAAGATGAAGAAAACGAGGAGAAGACTGTGAGATACAATTTAGGAGAGTATGGAAGGAAAAGAGGAGGGACTGTAAGAAAAAAATTTAAAGATCCAAAAGGAACACATGAAAATAATAGTCAAATGCAATAACAGGATGAAACACTCATGAATGAACATAACATGCATGTAGAAATGCATGCTCAAACAAAATGTTAGAAATAAATTTGCAGCACATCCCCCATTATTCTTTCCACTTTAATTAGCACCTTCATTAGGCTGGTAGAGAGCGAGAGAGGAACAAGGAACCCCATTACTCTTTAAATGTCTGCCCACTCTACCTCCCTTTTCCCTGGTCTGCCTTCTTTATCTTCCCTTTCTTCCCATGGGTTCCCTTGTCATCCTCCTCACTGGTCTTCTGTCTATTATCCGTGTTTTTATTTCTTATACTTTTTTGGACCCTTCCTGTCTGAGAGGAGAGTAATGACGGGCACTTGGATGATGAAAATTGGCCACGCAGGTAGTCAGAAGCTGCCTCTACAGCTTCAATTAGCTTAAACAAGAACATTGTCTTCCTTTAGATTGTATCCTCCACATTTCAGCTCACACCCTGCTCATCTGCATTTTGACCCCTTTGGTGTAGCTCTTTTACTATTCATGTTGCTCTCTCAGTGCTCTTCCTCCTCTCCATCAACCCCCCTCCACTTCTCCTCTCCTCTCTAAAAGCTAGGAATGAACAAGGAGCTATTCAGGACTAATTTGAGCTTGTTTGACTGATTTATTTCAGCGGAGATTTCCTGTGGTTTGTGACATTGAGTTATTATTACTTATCAGTGCTTCGGCTGCCATGCTACGTCGGACCAGATTTCAGTAGAAGCCATTAAAACACTAAGAGTACTCAAATATAGTTTAACAGTGCAGCACTAACACTCACTCTCTATGTTCCCCAGTGCCCAGCGAGCCTCCGCAGAACGTGAGAGCAATCTCTGTGACATCAGATGAGGCAGTGATCACATGGGCAGAGCCTCCACGGCTGACGCTGCATGGTGTGCTGAAAGGCTACCGGGTTGTGTTTTGGTCCCTCTTCCCTGACGGAGGTGGGTGCTGTGGGGGCCAGGCCCAGTGGCCAATGCAGAGTAATTATCACCTATCTCATTCTAAGATTCACCAACCCGCCCTCCCACTCACCTACCTTTCTGTCAGTGCTGTGAGTCAGAATGTTTTAATGTGTATCCACACCTTTCTCATAAAGCACTTCCTGGTCCTGTGTGTTTTTGAATTTGTCTGTTTGTCAAATAGATTGTATGTCCAAGATGGAGATATGGCTCAACTTTAGCTTAAGGGCTAGCCTTTGATTTGACAGAAGTGACCACATTTAGATGAGAGGGTGATGCACCCATCCATAGACAGCGGGGGTGCATCACACAGGCACAAATACCTATTTACTACATACAAATAAAACTCTTGGAAAACTAACAGTTAGTTGCACAGCGTGCTATATTATTTGCCAGATAACTGCTCCAGAAGCACCAACACCCCAGACACGATCAACATCATGCACCTAATAATACAAAGCATAAGTCCTAATCACATTTAATTGACTGAGTTATATAAAAAAGATGCCTCTGTAGAGTTCTTATGACTTGCTACAACATCATTTTTATGTAGTATATTGCAAACATGTTTTTTTTTCTTCAGCTCTTAAGTTAGTCATTTTAATTTGAAAGTCGCCTTAAGGTATTTGAGTTTTTGGCACTTCTGCACTGGTTTTATTTTTCACCCCCAAAGATTTCTGTTAAGTCTGTCATAGTTTCTTAGATTTTTAATAAAACTTGTGATCAGAAAGTCACACAGTATAGCAATGAGTGTCTGCGTGTTGTAGGTCCAATATCTGTGCAACTCTGTTTCCTAAAAAAATATTTACTCCTCCTTTAGACACAATGTTGAAATAGGAAGGTAATTATATTCATGAAAAAAAAAGTAATGGCCACGTATTACATTACCAAATAAATGCAACTGCAAATAAATATATTTTTTAGGAAACAGAGTTGATGTGTGTTGTTACTCCTATCATCACCTATACCTTCTAAAAAGAGTTTTTCTCCTCTCCCTCAGAATGGGGAGAGATGCAAAACATCACCACCACACGTGAACAGGTGGAACTGCGAGGGCTCGAGAAGTTCACTAACTACAGTGTTCAGGTGCTGGCCTACACACAAGCTGGCGATGGGGTCCGCAGCAATGTCCTCTATATCCAAACCCGAGAGGATCGTGAGTATACAATTCATTTGTTTTTTACATGAAGAAAAGTGTGCAATGTAAGGAGATGGGAAATGGGATAGAGGGAGATTTTAAAAAAGGGAGCTGGTTGTATCTCAAACCCATAACAAAAGCTCATAACAAGCTATGCTAGGAATCTCCATTAGCTGTGCTAATGAGAATTAAGAGGCTTTGAGTCCACAGCTCAGGGCTAAGGGAGGTGTTTCGGGAGGAGGAGGGAGAAGTGATGTCTTAGAGCATATAGCATCCAGGAGTCAGCCATCAGCCTGGGCCTGCATCCTTACCACCAGCCCTCTTGCCATAGGCATAGGGATTAACTCCTTTTGGATTAGAGAGAATTAATTTTGTGCTTACACCATTGGAGGCAGGATTACAGCCAGATCCATGTCTCTTTATAAAGGAGGAGGAGGGGCCTGGGGGGCTGAAGATGGAAAGATACAATGGCGATTGCACAGCCCGTTCTTGGCTGACAAAAAATAATGAGTGAAAAAATTATAAGAGAAACACCACAGCTGAGGTGTTTGTTTATTTGTGTCTAGACTGCTGTCCTCTTCTGATTGACTCAGTGTTCCATCGTGTATTTTTATAAATGAGACTGTTCACTTAGTAGTGTTCTCTTCCTCATCATCACTTGGGTTGTGCTAGTTCTGCAGCAGACTGTCTTGGCAGACTGTCTGTCTGTGTATCTGTCTGTCTGGAGTCCTGGGCAGATTTTGGGCACCAGATGGGACCTGACTGTCCCATCTCCTACTGGTGCTTTGACATGGGGGTCCAGTTATGATAATGATAGCCTCCTGTGCGCCTCCCTGCTGCCATTGTTACATGATCCCTGTCACTTTTTTTGTCCCTGCTTACTTCGTTTAAAACTTGCATCTCTGCTTTCTGAGTTTTTGTTGTTTTCTTGCCCACTCATGTCCTCTGTAGGGGAAAGAGATCTGAGGGTAGAGAGCATCAGGGGGCCTCACAAAGAAAACAAGAGGAATGGGGGATGGATTTAGAGGGCTGGGTCTTACACTGTGGTAGCCTCCTTCTGTAGAGGCCAGATGAGGCCCACTGTCAGGCACAAGTTATATTTATGGTTTGGTTTGAATAGGGTTGATAGTGTGGACCCAGTACTGTAAGACCAATGAAACAAAAGCATTATTGTTCACCTTTCACAGTATCCAGTGTCCTGATGTGTTTTTGTAAAGTGTGCATGTTTTTTAAGCCCCTTTTGTGCCATTATCTCGTAATCAGAGTATTAAACAGTGTCCAGTGCCAAGCTGAAGTGGCTAGCAGAGGATCAGACACTAATGTCTAATCTGTTTGAGAGTTTTGAGAATGCTGGGTGTCACAGAGTCAGAACTGCTGACCAGTGTCTGAATGAACATATGTCACAGCCATCCCCTCAAAAGGATGTTTTTCAAAGTCCTTCCAGAGCAGCTTAGTACAGGCTAAGACTTCCAATCCGCAAAAAAAAGCCTGTTCACTTTAATAGCTATCCAACACCCAGCATGTGCCTGCACAAACACAAACACACACACATATGGATGCCCGCCATGCTGATGTTGCTATGTCTTTTCTCCTAGTTCCTGGTCCACCGGCTGGCATCAAGGCAGTTCCCTCCTCCTCAACTAGTGTGGTTGTGTCCTGGTTGCCTCCTCTCAAACCAAATGGCATTATCCGCAAGTACACCATCTACTGCTCCAGTCCCGGATCTGGACAGCCAGTAAGTGCCTCCTCTGTGGGTGTGATTCATATAGGGCCAATTTATCTCTGAGGTCCGTGTAAACCAAGTAACTTATTAAATTACCAATGGAAATAATTCATTTGTAAGCGCTGTTATTAAATGAACCTGTATGCATGCATTTGTGTGTGTGTGTGTGTGTGTGTGTGTGTGTGTGTGTGTGTGTGTGTGTGTGTGTGTGTGTGTGTGTGTGTTGCGCATGTCTCTCTTTCACTGTTTTTGCACCATCGCTTTATTTCCTGCCCTCCCAGATGAACAGATGAGGTTGTCTTGGCAACGTGATGAGACGTAGATATGCAAATGAGCCAGAGAACAAGCTCACACATGCACACTGCCGCATCAGAAGCACACACTCACAGAGACATCACATTTCGACATTTTCTATTTATACACATACGTGCAAGCATTTCAATTGTGGTTAGATCATGTGCACACAAACACCAGCACACGGTGAAGTCTGATATCAGGCTAGAATCTCACTTTCTTATTATTCACAAATACTCCTCCCTCTCTGTGCATGAGTGCCATGTAAATGAGCACAGGCAGGGAGGAGAGAGGGAAGGAGGGAGGGGGGTGGAAAGAAGGTTGAGAGAGAAAAAGAAGCACACCATTAGAGGTAGGGAAAGACCGAGGGGAAATGAGAGAAAAAGAGAGGGATGAGGGAAGAGGGAGAGACAGGCTGGGTGGAATGGAGGAGAGAGGAGGGTATCAGTCACATCGAGATGAGAGTGCTTTTGTCCGTCTTTTCATTATCTCCCTGTATCACTCCCTGGATCACCACAACACCGCCACAATGCTGAAGGAATGTTCGAACCCCCTGCAAACAAACACACACACACTTATGCACATCCTCCCCTCCCTGTGTCCCTCCATCCAGTCCTCTTCACTGAGCTAGACAGAGAGGGAAAGAATAAGCAAATGGTGAAAGAACACAGAGATGAACAGATTAAAGAGAGAGAACAGCGGATCATCTTAAGAGACAACAGTCTTTTTGTGCATTGCCATGTATGTGTTTGTGTGGATGCAGGTGAGTGTGTGTTCATTCTCAAAGGTTTGCTTGGAGGAAAAATACATCCAAGCAAACCTTAAATCCAGTGTTGAGTACAGCATTATAAGTAGCTGTAGGTCATTTGCATCAAATTTATTTTGAGTAGTGGGACAAATAGACAGCTCCGCACAAAGGTTTACATTTTCTGTTTTGCCTTTTTTATGTTGACCTAAAACCTGTGTTCAATTCTGAGCAATCATACTGCTCGCTGTGCATATTTTCTATAGTTTTTGTTTAAAAAAAAAACATGGTTTTATGGGTTTTGCCTGAACAAAAAAAAAAAAAAACAGAGAGAGAGAATACCACATACCACATCTGTTTCTCCTTTACAACCTAACACTCAGTTTGCTCTGCAAAAAGCTTTAACTCCCTCAAAACATTCAAATGATGTCAAGTTGTATACAGCATAAGATCTACGTTGTTCAGACAATGAATTCACAAGTTGATCTGGGTGGAAATGGAATCCATAAGGAGGTCAGCCATAGCTGAGAAAACCCGGCAAAAATAATGCACAGTATCATCCTTAAATTTTGGGAAAGACAAATAAAGAAAGAGTCAAAAATGCAAGTTGCTGTCAGTGTATCAGAGACAAAACATCTCAGTGGACTCTATGTTTGTGCTTTGGATTTAAGTGATTCGAGAAACAATATATGTATCATTTCTGCCTTTTATCACGAGGCAAACACTGCCAGTGAGGCTAATAAGTTAAAATTTTAAACAAACAGATGACATTGACAGATGTATTTGGCTTTCCCTTTATTTCTCCAAAAAGTATGCTTTTTTGTTGTTTCAAGATACCGACAGTGTTCAAGGAAAATTGCACACCTCCTTTTTCACTGAGCGCATTTTGATGTGTCACAATAGGAAAAGGACAGATGTAAAAAAAAAACCTGTTTAATCTGTCAACTGCAGGAGCATTAGTTTCAGTTTCCTGGTGTCACGTATGTTATGCTGAAACTTAAACAGAATAGAGCCTAAATTAATGTTATGTTCATCTTAATTTCCTTTGTAGCTTTATAAAATGTAGCACTTTAATCAAGTCCACAAGCTGCCACCACTCCTGTTATATTACTGTTTTATTTGCTAACATGACATTGCGTGCCCTCTGTCCCAGGCTCCCAGTGAGTATGAGGCCAACCCAGAGATGCTCTTCTACCGTATCACGCACCTTACCCGCGGTAAACAATACCTCATCTGGGCTGCAGCTGTGACAACTGCTGGAAGAGGCAACATTAGCGCAAAGGTCACTGTAGAGCCTGCTGGGAAAGGTGGGTCCTCCAGGCATGCCAGTTGTAGAGAAGAAGGGTAAAGAGATTTGTGCAAAGGTTATCAGGGAGAGCGCACTAAACATGGCTATGAACTGGCAGCATGATCTCCTTTACACAGATCACTTTCATCAGTCTCCCTCCCTCTCGCTCTGTGTACAATCTCTGCTATTGATTGACAGCCGTGGTATTGATTGAGCAGCGGCTGTGTTGCAAGAAACGTTGTTGTTAATTATGTGGTGATGAACAGGGCCTATCCAGTAAAATGACCCTTGGGGAGAGAGATAGCAGGCAAAATCAATAGAGGGGAGGATTTATGGAGAAATGATAGACTCGAGACTAAGAGTTTTGACAGGGGGCTACATTAAAACACTATGGTACAGCTTTTTAATCCCTCAGGAGAAACGATTCAGGCCCACTTAATCATCCAAAAGCAGACACAGAAAGACAAGTTGAAGTATGAATAGAGTCATTTTGGTGTCATGCTTACTATTTGAGTTTAACATCATGTGCTAAAGATGCATGTTGAGTTTTACTGGTTGCATCTTTGTGTGCAGTCCCAGCTAAAATCCTGTCCTTTGGGGGCACTGTGACCACTCCCTGGATGAAGGAAGTACGTCTGCCCTGCAGCTCAGTGGGAGAGCCTACTCCCACAATTAAATGGACCAAAGACAGGTCAGAGCGGTCACTGTATGCCCTTAGATATCAGAGATATCATGCACACATGCTGATGCTATTTCTTGTGAGGAAAATTGATTTTTTTAAAACTGCTCTTAATTCTGAATAACCTGTCTGCTCTTTATCAGTGAGGACTCTGCCATTCCTGTGACAGCTGACAGCCAACGGCAGATCTTATCCAATGGTACACTGGTGCTACGCTTAGTCAAAGCAGAGGATTCTGGGTACTACACCTGTACGGCCACTAATACCCTAGGCTTTGACACCATCATAGTGAACCTTGTGGTACAAGGTAAGAAGAAACAGAAAATTTATAAACTTATTTGAGTGAAACAGACACTTCTGTCCTGGTGCTAAGTTATTGTCTGCGTGTGTACATCCAGTTCCTCCTGACCAGCCTCGTCTGACTGTCTCCACTACTTCCACCTCCTCCATCACCCTGGCTTGGATTCCTGGGGATAATGGAGGAAGCTCCATCAGGGGTATTTAAATATTGTTGACCTGTTTTTTAAGGGTGCTTCACACTTTTGATGTCATATGTACTTATCCAGTTGTGCAACAAGCTTATGTTTCTAGGTAAAAGGAAGTCAAACCGCAGCTGGCTGTAGCTAATTGTAGCTGATTGTTGCCCCCTGGTGTCCAACAGATGGAGCTGCAGCAAGGATACACCACCATTAGTAGCTGTGTTTGACATAAATGTGTACTGGTGTGCCTGCAGGATTTGTGCTGCAGTATTCTGTGGACAACACAGAGGAATGGAGAGATGTGTTCATCAGCTCCAGCGAGCGTTCCTTCAGGTTGGACAATCTCCGCTGTGGAACTTGGTACAAGGTCAAGTTGGCTGCCAAGAACAGTGTGGGCTCAGGACGCATCAGTGAGATCATTGAGGCAAAGACGCATGGAAGAGGTGAGGGGTCTAGAGAAAAGTGTTGAAGCTGGAATTAAGTCGAAATAAATCTTCTCTTTCTTTACTGTCTGTTCTTGTAGCAGCAGTTACAACTTTCTTCTCAAACATGAAGCCATCAATGCATCACAGATAAATACATCTTAAATTGCTAATTTATGATTATCTTTCTAACCTAGTGTCTTTTCCTTTTCCAGAACCGGTGTTCAACAAGGACCAGCCACTGCTAACGCACATCAACTCCACTCATGCAGGCCTCAACCTTCAAGGTTGGACCAGCGGGGGCTGCCCTATCACTGACCTGATGCTGGACTTTAGGCCCAAAGGTACTTGGGCCTGGCAGAGCCTCAAGGCCAATTCCACAAATCAGCTTTTCCTCAGCGAGCTGCGAGAGGCCACCTGGTACGAGCTCAAAATGAAGGCCTGCAACAGTGCTGGGTGTGGCAACCAGACCTCCCAGTTTGCCACAACTGACTACGATGGGAGTAAGTCTCTCCTAGTTTTTTAGGTCTTGGTGTATCTTTTTCCTCTCATTCATGTTTATGTTACTGACTCTTGTAAATTTTATCAAATTTTTCTTCTCCTTCTACTCTCATTAGGTACAATCCCTCCCATTAAATCAGCTCGTGGAGAGGGGGACGATGTGAAGAAACTGTTCTCTATCGGCTCTCCTGTCATTCTGGTTACCCTTGGCGTTGCTTTGCTCTTCATTATACGAAAGAAACGCAAGGAGAAGAGGCTCAAACGACTTAGAGGTGGGAAGTAAACTATTTAATATACTAACACAAGTGACAAGCTGAAAAAATATGTCTTAATTATATAATTATACCGTCTTCTCGCAGATGCTAAGAGCCTTGCAGAGATGCTTATCAGGTAAGAGACAGCTTTATTTGTTATGTGTACTGTATAGAATAGCTGTATTTTGCATAAATAAATCACTTACAATCAATTTCAGGCTTAATATATATGTTTTTGTTTTTTTGTCTCTGTGTAGCAAGAACAATCGAAGCATAGACACTCCAGTGAAGGGTCCTCCTCAAGGACCAAGGCTCCATATTGACATCCCACGTGTCCAGCTCCTCATTGAAGACAAGGAAGGCATCAAACAGATAGGCATGTGACCACACATTGACAGCAACACAGCTGCCATTCATAGAGGGGTTTTTAGAAGCCTCTAAAAGATCTTAGTAACTCGTTTATTTCCTTGCTTGCAACAGGAGAGGACAAGGCAGCAGTGCCGGTGACAGACACAGAGTTCAGCCAGTCAGTGAATCCACAGAACTTCTGTACAGGCGTTTCTCTGCATCACCAAGCCCTTATCCAGAATTCAGGCCCTTTGATTGACATGTCAGACATTCGGCCTGGCACAAGTGAGTTTGTTTTAGGTTCATATTTGTTCTGCTTGTCACAGCTTTCAGTGAAATAGTTTGAGGCTTTAAATATGAGCAACAGATTTGATCTTTTATTGAAGTACATCTCCAATACATTTGAGAAAATATAGACTTATTGACAGCTAATACATGGATACCAAGCATCTTTGATCCTTAGATGTTCTCTGATCCCTGTGACCTCTCTCTTCTCAGACCCAGTGTCACGAAAGAGCATAAAATCAGCCCACAGCTCTAGAAACAGATACTCCAGCCAGTGGACGCTTAGCCGCCCAAGTCAAAGTCAGTCAACAGCCTCTGCACGAACTCTGACGTCTGACTGGCGGACGATGGGCTCTCATGGCATCACAGCCACCGAGAGTGACAGCTACAGTGCCAGCCTCTCACAGGACACAGGTGGGTTAAAATTAAGAAAACTTACTCTCTTGTAACTGAGTAGCTAAGTAAATGGTGAAAAAAACAATTACACTTCTTTTCTTTCAGATAAGGGAAGGAACAGCATGGTGTCCACAGAGAGCGCGTCCTCCACCTACGAGGAGCTGGCTAGGGCGTATGAGCACGCCAAGCTGGAGGAGCATCTACAACACGCAAAGTTTACAATCACAGAATGTTTTATCTCTGATAGCTCGTCTGATCAAATGACGACAGGTACCAATGACCCAGCAGACAGCATGACCTCCCTCAGTACACCCTCTGAACCAGGCATCTGCCGCTTCACTGCCTCACCACCCAAACCGCAGGACTACGACCGCGGTAAAAATGTGGCTGTGCCCATTCCCCACCGTGCTAACAAAAGTAAGTATCAGAGCTGAGACCCATGTGGGGACGCTGTTCTTTTGATTTGTTGTTTGTACTTGTTTTACATTCAGTGCACATGTAGAATTACACATAATTACAGTTAGGACACCCATATGTATGTATTGCATGCCCACAATTAAAGACACACAAGGATGAGAGTAACAAAAAGCCACTGGTTGCTAAAACAACAACTAGATTTTTGTCCCAAGCCATTTTGAAATCTACTTCCACATCAGTTCCTCATTTTCATACTATACAGTGGCTTGCAAAAATATTCGGCCCCCTTGATCTTTTCCACATTTTGTCACATTACGGCCACAAACATGAATCAATTTTATTGGAATTCCACGTGAAAGATCAATACAAAGTGGTGTACACGTGAGAAGTGGAAC